ATAAGCAAAGTAGTATTGAATTTGATTTAAGTACTCTTTTAGCAGATCTTGAAAAAAATTTCTAGGTATCATCCTAATGATTAAAATGAAATTAGAAGAGCATATTTGCAACAAGGGCCACTGATACTATCATATAATGTTTTCAAAATAAAAAAAAATTATGATGGATAATTATAGTTTTTTTAGATATTTTTACTTTGAAGTATTCAATGAATGTATTGAATTTACATTTATTTTAATTTAATGTTAAAACTTCTACTTTATGAATTTTAACATATTTTTTTTAATTATTATTTTTATTATGACACTACTTAGAAAAATTGTTGAGTCCACCTATGGATATATGTATGTTATTTGATAAAAATATATAGCTATTGATTCATATCTTTTTTTAATTTATGTCCTAACAAATCATACCATACGTGTCACATATCATATAATTTTGATAATTATATATATAAAAAATATAATTAAATTATTTCAATAAATCTTAAATAATTTATTGTCACTTTTGACTTCATTAATATTGATATGAAAAATATGATAGTGAAAAGGTAAAGATAAAAAGGAGATATATTTTTTTGAATTTGATAATATATTCTTTTTATTTATTTCATATATAACAATTTTCATCCACTAGTTAATTTTTTAGTGCTTAATAATTTTGGTTTTGCATATTAGTTCTTTTAAAATTTGAAAGTTTATTTGACTCAAATATAACATCAAATATAGATATAAAACTAAACAGGAAAATATATATATGTATATATAAAAATTTATCTATATCGTAAAATAAGTCCTCGTATATGTTTTTTCTATAAAATGAAAATTATTGTCTGTCCGAACACAGGGTTGGGAAGAATCAATAGACTTGCAATTTGTATCATAATGTTTTTTTTACTTGATAATCATTTTGTTGCCTAATTAGCTATTGTTCCCTTCAATTTCTTAATTCTTTTGCTTAAATTGAATTTGCTTAAAAGAAATATTTTCTTTAAGCTTCGACAGAAAGATGGATAGATTGCACCAGATTGCTAATACCTATTGCCTCCAATAATGTTCAAAAGAAAATCAAAGTTTTTCAATGAAATGGACTTTAATGGTGAGGGGTACATAAAGTTGGATGAATTCTTAAAATTCATGAGACAAAAATGATATAAATATTACGGGAGTTCTAATTTGTTCAAAGAGATTTTTAATTATAAATATTAGAGGGATATATAAAGTTACCTCGCTATATACTAATGGATAACTTAATTGAACTGAGGCCATTATCGTGTCGTTGTCATTGTAATTTTTTTTTTAATTTTTATGCAAAAAGTTACAAAAAGTTATTTTAATAATTATTTATAATTTTACCCGTATACACGTTTTTATTATTATTGCAAAAGATTTAATAAAATAGGAAATTTGTGTTTAACAAACTTGAAAGGAATGATTTCCTTTTGTACTTATCTTTCTTGATTTCACCCATTTATAATTCATCTCATTTTATCATGAAATAAAAATAAAATAATATTTTTATTTTGAGACATGATCTATTATTAATTATTGTTTTATTATTTTTTTGTAATTTTACATGAATGTAAATTCCTTTATATTGAATACTTTGTTATTTTCATATAAAACAGATTTTAATAAAACGTTTGCATTGTGAAATTTAAAATATTGATTTATAGTGACTTCTTTGAAAATGTTTTTTATGAATGGTTGAATGGAAAGATTACATACAAATCTGGTCTGAAACTGGAAGACAATTAAATTTTAATACTTTTAATTAATAAAAATTAAAAAAATATTGATTTAGAGTGACTTCCTTGAAAATGTTTTTTTATGAATGGTTGAATGGAAAAGTTACATAACAAATCTATTTGGTATGGAAAGACATTTAAATTATAATACTTTTAATTAATAAAAAATAAAAAAAATAGCTGCTTCACTCTTTTAACTAAGACATTAATATAATTTAGACATAATGTTCAAATAAGTCCTTAAATTATTTAAGAATATTCAAATAAGTCTTTATTTGTTTATTACATTTAATCAAATTTCATATTTTTATTTTGAACCAAATAAGCATGAATGATTGACTAATTGTCATTGGTAAAAATATTATTTATCATTTTATATTTACATGATACTAACATGATAATGATATGAAAGATGAAAAAAGTCATATAATCATGTTATTATATCAAATCAGCATATCATATCATCATAATATCAGCATATAATCAATTATAATATTTAGCATGTCACATGAGCATTACGTGATACAGAATAATAAATGACATTTTAACTAAATCAATAAGTAATCATAAAAGTTTATTTGACTTAAAATAAAAAATATAAGAGTTTATTTGGTTTAAAATAAAAGTATAATAATTTATATAATTTAAAAATAAAAATATAAAAATTTGATTGAATATAATAAAAAAATAAAAATTTATTTAAATTTTTTAAAATAATTTATGAGCTTTTGTATATATTATACCTATAATTTGGTACAAGTGCATATTTTAGATTTTTTTCCATAACTTAAAAGAAATGAAGTGAAATTGCACATATTGGATTCAGACAAAACATCCGATACACGTTACTCAGTATACCTGTAAGCTAAAAGACAACATTGGACCCCAGTTGATCAAAGACCTCGCCAGAAAATTCGTCGTTAGGTTGAAAAAGTTAAAAATAAAAAAGAATTTATATAATACAAATATATTAATCATGAGAAGACAATCAAAACAATTTAAATAAATTTTATTATTTTTTACATTTTTATTTTTAATCAAATAAATATATATAATTAATAATTAATTTAATCAAAACATTAACTCTCATTTGTTTGCCATTTTATACCTATATAATGTTAAATACTTTATAATTAAAAATATATTTGATAAAAAATACATAAATTTAATTAAATATATTATAAAATAAAAAATTATTTAAAAATTTCAAAATAATGATGGATATGTGAAATGCTGCATGCCAAAATAATTTTTTTTTTTATTTTTTTTCCGTTTCTTTGTGGCGGGAAAGGAGCAGGAGAGGGCAGGAGAAAAAAGGCAGAACTTCTTTCATAAAAACCTTAAACCCACTCCCCCAGAGAGCAAAAAAAAAAAAAAAACCCTAGGAATTTCCTGAAAATCTTATCCGGTTCAATTCTCTAATTTTCCCACCACACAAGGCGAGAATTGAGAGGCTGTTTAACCAGCATGTACTGGTTAGCAACGCGGAACGCCGTCGTTTCAATCCCTAGATGGCGTTCTCTTGCCCTTCTCCTCCGTTCCCCTCTCAACAAATACGCCTCCTTTAAGCCCTCATCGCTTCCCCTGTAATCCTTTCCCTCCCTCTCCTCTGTATTTATATTCTAATTACTATTTCTTTATCTAGTCCACGCCTTGTTTGGTAAAAGAGCAAACATTGTATTTCAATTGTTCGGGTTTTTAATTGAAAAATGTATTTTTTTTTCCTTCTATGGAAATGGTTGGATAAAGTTAATTTCTTTAACTGGAATTGCTTTAAAAATGTCATTTTTTAATAAATCTTTATGGTTCATAACCTGGTATAGTACTGTTCCCTCTTTAAACTATGCTATGGATTCTGCATTGTTAGTGTAATGAACATTAGGACATTTACAACGTTGTTAATTGGGCTCTAACTAGCTAAGTTATTATTCAATGTTATACCTAACATTACCCTCAGTTATTATACTGAATCGAGTTATTTCTCAAAAGCTTGTGATGAATTGGAAAATGAGAAGTATTTCTGATAATAGGATTGTACCTTACTTGCAAAGGATTTCTTGTTTGTCGAGGGTTATTTTATTGGTAAGAATTGTAAGGTTCATTGTGGTTCCCTTTAACTACTGAAGTTTAAGCTATTTGTTTATCTATGTCACACGTGTTTTTTTTTTGGTCTAAGAGCTTGTTGCTAGATGTCTAAGCTAGTTTCTATATATCTGTTTAGGGACAACAGTGGAAGACAGTTTGGGCAGATACATTGTTTCAAAGATAAGAAGATTTTGAGAGAAACCACCAAAGTTACTAGGAAATTTAAGGCGCCCAATAAGGCCATAGATGATAAGGATCTTTCTCACATAATTTGGTGGAAAGAGGTGTGCCTTTTTTGTCTGCTTCATTAAAGTATTTGATTTGTATATATTGGATTTCTTGAGCTCTTATATTTTTTATTCTTTTATTGCAGAGACTGCAGCTGTGTCAGAAACCTTCCACTCTCAATTTGGTTAAGAGGCTTGTGTATAGCAATTTGCTTGGTGTGGATGTTAACCTGAAAAATGGCAGGTGATATATATAGATACTTGTCTTCTGTTTATGTAATTATATTTCTGTGTGGATAAAATCTTATCCTTTGTGTTTTCATTTCTCTTGGTAACAAAAGGAAATTTTATTTTTTAACATAGACAGTAGATTTATGATGCAGTACTCTAATACACTCTATCCTTTCTTTTAAATATATTTAGACATTTCGTTATACAATTTCAATTTAAGATATGTTAGCATGGACGCTTGAGGACTAAAAACTTAGGCTTGAAAAACCATTGCAATTCATGTTCTACAAGAATTTAATCCTTTCTAGAAAAGCATGAGAATCAAAATAAAGTTGGTTCTTTTTCCCTTTGAAGGGCTTGATCGAGTTTGTTTTCTTTTTGATTCCATTGCAGTTTGAAAGAAGGAACACTCAATTGCGAGATTTTGCAGTTCAAGTCAAAGTTTCCACGTGAAGTTTTGCTCTGCAGGGTATATTACAGAATTCTTTCTAATACAATAATTGCTTACTTGTTTCATCTTATATTTCATGATCGGTGCTACAACATTCTTTTTAATGTGTCGTCAGGTTGGGGATTTTTATGAAGCCCTTGGAATAGATGCTTGCATTCTTGTTGAATATGCTGGTTTGAATCCTTTTGGTGGTTTGCGTTCAGATAGTATTCCAAGAGCTGGCTGCCCTGTTGTGGTATTGGATCTATCTTACTTTTCTTGTTTTTAAGGTTTAATTAAGAAATTATCTTATGCAATAAGGTTTTCTTGGCCAGTTAAAATATTTCTCATGTTCTTATATACCTTCAGAGAGTTATAAAAAAAAGGAACAACAACAATAATTAGTGTGAACTTGTCAAGCAGCATTCTATTCGTCACTGTTGCATGAACATAGAACTATGCTGTATTAGTTATTACTTTCTTCTTTAGTTTATGTATATCTTACGCAATTACTCCTCTGGACCATTTGATCTATTCTCTTTGCTAGTCTGTTCTTCATAAAAGTTTTGATTAAATGCTCCTTCTGCAGAATCTTCGACAAACTTTGGATGACCTAACACGAAATGGTTATTCAGTGGTGAGTATAGTGAGTATGGTGATATTGATGCATCTTCTACCTTTCGGTCTGAATTCAGGTTTGGAGTTGAAAATGGAAATAAATTTTGGTTGGGAACTGATTCTTTGGGTCTGAATCGTAGAGAGTCTGGCGAGTTAATTGACATGCTGGGAATTACCTTATTTTTGTAACATAAAAGCTTAATTTATTTCTAGGCAACAATAAGTGCTCAGTGGTTTCAAGCTGGATGCCTAGATTTTTGCTATTGCCAACAAATCCTCTGCTTATTATGGCTTGTTTCTTATGGCATGCCTCTTGTAGTGCATTGTGGAGGAAGTTCAAGGTCCAACACAAGCTCGTTCTCGTAAAGGACGTTTTATATCTGGGTAATAACATTTTAATGATCACTTTTTAGCTCATAATGCTATTACATTATGTTATGCCCATTGGTGTTGGTGTGATGACCATCGCTTTGCAAGTAACTTTAGCATATAGCGTACATAATCAGTTAAAAGGTGCCTATTTTATGTGGTTTTAAGTTATTAAATTTGGGGCTTAGAAAGTTGAGATTGTTTATATGGCAAAGTTTATATATTTTTCAGTACATATGTTTTAATTTAACTGATTCCTTGAAGTTTTTTGACATTCATACCTTGCTCTGACTTGCTTTTAAGTATTCAGGCATGCACATCCGGGTAGTCCTTATGTATTTGGACTTGTTGGGGTTGATCATGATCTTGATTTTCCAGAACCAATGCCCGTTGTTGGTATGCACAATTTCTCCGTTATTTGTAATTTGTTTATTAGATAATGTGCTTGGGAAAGTTTCTCTTGTTGATCTCTTGCAAGCTTGTTATGATTTTATTGAGTTTCCCTGAATTTCTCTAGCCTGTGTATTGCCATTCTTGACTGCAGCGGTCCCTTTTCTCTTTGTTATTCTTTTATGGAATTGCAACTATGCAACCTAAGTACTGACACAATGGCTACTGTTGCATCCATTCTGAATGTATATTGAGCTTGAACGCTTGAATCTCGTTCTTTCTCTTTGTTCTTGAATGCTTGCATGCCTGTGTATTGAGAGAGACAGACATCTTTGTTATGGGTGCTTTTAAATTTGACTTATGTAAACTTTGGCTCTTGTTTATAAATCATCCCTGGCTCTCTAGGTATATCTCGTTCAGCAAGGGGATATTGCATAACTCTGGTTTTAGAGACTATGAAGACATATTCTTCAGAGGATGGTCTTACTGAAGAAGCATTGGTAACCAAGCTGCGAACGTGTAGATACCATCACCTGTTTCTGCATTCATCGTTGAGAGACAATTCTTCAGGTTTGCAGATTCCTTGAGAGACATTGCCATCACAAGAATCTTCAAAGGAGGCATTTTATTATGTTACTCTTCAAGGAGTGGATTTTTCTTTAATATAACACACGCACAACACACAACACATATACATATGTTAATGAGGAATGTTAATAACCTGCTAAATGAATAAAACAAGCATATACAAGGTATGTTACACAGGCCAAGGTGCACTGAAGTCTTTAAAGGTGTTGTCTAAATACAGCTTAAAATGTATGTAGTTGAGCATTGTCATAGACATAAAAGGCTCTTGTTCTCTAGTTTTTCTACTAATCTTTTCTTGGTGACGCGTAGAAGTTATGCTCCAATTCATTGTCATTCTCATATTCATTTAATTGAGATGATGTGTTGATTTGGATAAATCTAATGAATTATTGTGTTCTAGGAATGTTTCAGGAAGAGCAGTGCTTTTGGTTTATAATTCTGGTACAGAGGAAATTTGTTATGAAGTAGCATTCAGGACCCCTGTTTCATAAAAAAATTCTATGCTAGGAGTCTGATAAATGGTCATTTTGTCTCTTTTGATGCTAAATTACATGGTAAGATTTTCACTGTGTTAGAGGCTCTTGCAGGAACTTGTCGTTGGGGTGAATTTGGTGCAGGAGGCCTGTTGTGGGGAGAATGCACTACCAGACATTTTGAATGGTTTGAAGGCAGTCCTGTCACTGAGCTGTTACATAAGGTTCACATTTCTGATGACCTTAGCAGTGTCTATCCTTTAATATGTGATACATTTTTGCCATTATACATTTTATGCATTTGTTTCATCCATCTTTTAGGTAAAGGAGCTTTATGGGCTTGATGATGGGGTTACTTTCAGAAATGTCACTGTTCCTTCAGAGAGTAGACCCCGTCCTTTACACCTAGGAACAGCAACGCAGATTGGTTCGTTTAACTTCTTGAGTCATTCCAATATCCAATTGTCTGTCTAATACTGACTTCTTGAGCAATTTCTGTCCATGGGTTGTGTTATTCCAGGTGCCATCCCAACAGAGGGAATACCTTGTTTATTGAAGGTGCTGCTGCCATTAAATTGCACTGGGCTACCTGCTCTGTAAGTGAAAATCTTTTATTTTGCCTAACATATACTAGTGAAGAAGTTATTCAGATGGTGCGTATTTATGCAATTAGATTAATTTGTTCTGTGGTACTTTTTCCTCTCTATGTTGTCATTTTTAGGGGATTGCTTATCCCTTCAGTCCTCTTGGATGGTGCTAATTATGGATCATCTAACCCTCACATTATATATCTCATTGCAATCAAAACTAGAGAGGAAGTAACTCTTCCCTTTCCATGTGACGTGCTGGAATATAGATCTACTGTATCTGAGGCATTAGGCTCTGTTTTCTCATGTTTTGGATTACTCATTTTTCCTTAATTATTGTGATTTAATTTACTGGATATGAATTTTGTTCTGTACTATTTTTCTTCCATTTCATCGCTTTGTTTTCTTTGCCCCCATTTGACTATTTTAACCATTTTGATCTAAGTTTGGGAATCTTTAGACTAATTTAAGTATAAGAGTTGATTTGTGATGGGTGTCTGATTTAACTCATCTAGTTGTGATTGAGATCTTCTCATGTGACCTGTTTAGAACGATAATTGCCTCCTAATGTTGTTACTCACTGATTCTCAGGTATATTAGAGATCTTCTGCTTAATCCTCCTGCTTATGAAATTGCATCTACAATTCAAGGTAAGCTATTACTTGTAATATGTTTTTATAGTGATGCGACGCTGGCTATGGGGTACCGGTATATTTTGAAAAGGTGTATTAGTTAAACTAGGTCATTCCATTATAAGCTAGTCTTGCAGCTTTAAAATTCCTTGGCCTAATTCTAACTTGAAACCATCATGTAAATTTCTTTTTTCTGTTTAGTTATTTACTAAAGGTTGTACTGGATATGTAATAGGGAGTTTCCAAGAAATGTTTCACTAAAGATGCTTCTTTCAAGGACTCGTGCTACTTAGGTGACCAGAATCTGGACATGAGCTTTTCAAAATCCTAAAACCTTTATAATCATTTTGACTAAGCATTTGTGCTATATGTCATATCACTTGATTGTTTTATACATATGTGACTCTCTTAAATGCGTTAATTTCATAGTACATAAATGTACAATTTAAATTCTGTACTAACTTGTATTTGACGTGCAGCAACTTGCAAACTTATGAGCAGTATCAAATGCTCAATCCCCGAGTTTACTTGTGTCTCATCTGCAAAGGTTGTATTCTAATTACTTTATTAGTTTCTTTCTTTTTTTTTCTTTGCATTTAAGATATTACTTTTGGCTGTTAGTAATGAAGGAATAAGTTTCCTAACATAAAAGTATTATATGTTATTATTTTACTTTGTTTTCTTTTGTCTTGCTTAATTGCATTTTTCATGTTTTTTGTTTGATTCCTTTATTTGTGCTTCTGTATCTGATTCTTAGATTTGACCTGGTGTTCTGCAGCTTGTGAAGCTACTTGAACTAAGGGAGGCCAACCATATCGAGTTTTGTAGAATAAAAAATGTTGTTGATGAAATACTGCACATGCATAGAAGCACGGACCTCAAAGAAATTCTGAAATTATTGATGGATCCTGCATGGGTGGCTACTGGGTTGAAGATTGACTTTGAGACACTGGTAAGTGTTGCAGCCCTTATACGTAGGACATGAAAGTGCAGTGACGTTTATTATATTCTTTAGAATTAAATGTCCTTACATGTGATTTTTGGGTCTTGTTTATTCCAGGTTAATGAGTGTGAATGGGTTTCAGAGAGAATTGGTCAAATGATTTTTCTGGATGGTGAAAATGATCAAAAAATAAGTTCTTACGCCAATATTCCTGGTGAATTTTTTGAGGACATGGAATCTTCATGGAAAGGTCGAGTCAAGAAGATCCATATAGAAGAAGAAGTTGCAGAAGTTGAAAGGGCAGCTGAGGCCTTATCTTTAGTGGTATGTCTATCGTACAATATTTTCTTCTATGGCTAGAATTATGCTGGTTTTTCACTTTGTCCCTGAATGCAACACAGTTTGCTCTTTCTAGTTGATGATATGACATCATGGGTTGGTTACTAACTTCATATAAAATGCTGATGAGTTGGAATTTTATTGGACTAAATTTTGATTTTTCAGTGCACCTTTATAATTATGTGGAAATTGGCTAGGTGCAAATGTGTGTGTGTTAGGCTTTTCAATGTTCTTTTTTAGTCTACTTCTTTCTTATAGCACATGCAGTGCTCTTTATTGTTGGTTATATAACATTCTTGTAGGTTACTGAAGATTTTCTCCCCATTGTCTCAAGAATAAAAGCGACCTCAGCTCCTCTTGGTGGCCCAAAGGGAGAAATATTATATGCTCGAGAGCATGAAGCTGTTTGGTTTAAGGGCAAACGGTTTGCACCAGCTGTATGGGCTGGTACTCCTGGCGAAGAACAAATTAAACAGCTTAAGCCTGCTTTAGATTCAAAAGGTAGAAAGGTTGGAGAGGAATGGTTTACCACAATGAAGGTGGAGAATGCTTTAACGAGGTGTGCTACTGAAGTTTACTAAGTCCCTTTACTTCTGTTCATCACAATAGATTGAGGATCACTAGAATATTTTTATTTGTGTCAGGTACCATGATACTGGTGCCAAGGCAAAGGCAAGGGTTCTGGAATTGTTAAGAGGACTTTCTACTGAGTTACAAACTAAGATAAACATCCTTGTCTTTGCTTCTATGCTGCTTGTTATTGCAAAGGCATTATTTGCTCATGTGAGGTCAGTTATACATATTAACCAAATAAAAGTTTGTTGTCTTGTCTCTATATTGACCTTTTTATATTTCCTGAATGATTTCTTAACACGTTCATAGCATGGTGAATGAATTGAAAATTCATGGAATAATTCCTAAAACTGTTTACAGTTTGCACTTCGTTAAGAAATTCTGATTGGTTAATGCACTTCTATGCTGTTTTGGGAGCTTGGTTAGCTTTATATCAGTTTGAACAATATTGTCTATCAATATAAGAAACTTTTGCACTTTGTTCCTTGCCTTGATTATACCTTTAAATTTGTGAAGCCCAATGTCTCAACACTTAGAAATAAAACCTGAGCTCTGGCCATTTTATTTTATTTTTTATTTCTCATTATGAGTTATTAGAACACTTTTCTGCAAAATATTAATTCTAAAGGCAGATTCCTTTTTCTGAAAATTTTGAATTATCAGTCTATATAAAATTCCCACTACGTGTTATTCTTGCCCAATATATTCCAATTATGACTTAATTGATATTTTACAGTGAGGGGAGAAGAAGGAAATGGGTTTTCCCTACACTTACAGGATTCAGTAGTTCTAAGGTAATTCTCCAAAATGGTAATTATGATTTGCCTTTTGTTTGTGCCATTTGGGCAGGATGATTATATCTACTACTCTTAGTTGATCTAACATTATTGTATGCAATGAATGATGACAACAAGCATCAATGGAAGAAAAGCAACACATGAGATGATAATCGAGTTAATTATCAAAGTACTAGTGCAACAAATTAAAAAGTTCAAGATTTTGAGTTGCAACACGAAGCATATCTCTTTTTCTTCTATTATGGCATTATACGTAAATAGCTTCTTTTTTATATATTGAGCGCAGGGTGGAGAATCATTGGATGAAACAAAAGGAATGAAGATAATTGGCTTGACCCCATATTGGTTTGACATGTCAGAAGGCTGTGCTGTGCTTAATACAGTTGAAATGCAATCATTGTTTCTTTTGACAGGACCAAATGGGGGTGGTAAATCAAGTTTGCTTCGATCAATTTGTGCAGCTGCATTACTTGGAATATGTGGATTTATGGTTCCTGCTGAATCAGCTTTAATTCCTCAATTTGATTCAGTAATGCTTCACATGAAGTCATATGATAGCCCAGCTGATGGGAAAAGTTCATTTCAGGTATGTTATATTCCTGATATATATTTTAATGGTACATATTTATTGTTTTTCTCCACAGAATGTCTCTGACAGTAGTAGCAAACCAATTTTTGGCATACAACTCTAGCTGATGTGTGTGGCTGAAACAGAGGGACAGTTGAATAGATTTTTCCTTTTGCTCATGCAGGGTTTCTCTGTGTTACCCATAGTAAACATTCTTGGCACTTTTTCTCTGTATCCTTTCCTAAATCTGAGTTTTTTGCAATTTTTTATATTAAGTGTCAGCGAAAAATGGCCAATAGAAATGTGATTATTCTTAATCTCTTGTCTAGATCTCCCCCAACTTCAGAGCTCTCTGTTTTTACCAAAAAAGTCTCATCAACTAAAGCCAATCTAGTATTATACATTTTCAACTCACAAGTAAAAAGAAATTAACAATTTTCTATAGCAAAATTTGTTAATTTCCTTTAAACTTATTTAGTTCAACTTACTAATATACATATCTGGTTAAGCACACACAACAAAGATGCTTTTCTGCATGTAGGATAAAATTTTCAATTTTGAAGCGGTATCTTCCATTTTTTTAACTCTTTAATTGCCCCCTCAACACCATGCAAAGTACATCAGAGCATCCTGAGAGTTCTTTTTTATCAGGAAATAAAATTGCAACATGCGTCTTACTTAGCTCTAAATTCTCAGGTAGAAATGTCAGAGCTCCGATCCATCATTAGTGGAGCCACTTCAAGGAGTCTTGTGCTAGTAGATGAAATTTGCCGAGGGACAGAAACGGCGAAAGGGACTTGCATTGCTGGTAGCATCGTTGAGACTCTCGATGAAATTGGCTGTCTAGGTATCATATCCACTCACTTGCATGGAATTTTTACTTTGCCACTTCGTACCAAAAACACCATATATAAAGCAATGGGTACAGAATATGTTGATGGGCAAACAAAACCAACTTGGAAGTTGGTAGATGGGATCTGTAGAGAAAGCCTTGCATTTGAAACAGCAAAGAAGGAAGGAGTTGCTGAGACAATAATACAAAGAGCTGAAGAACTTTATTCCTCAGTCTATCCAAAAGCATTATCTTCTGGAAGATTTAACACACAACTGGCACAGGTTGGTTCTGAAGGCGCCCAACTTCTATCAAATAGGACTCAAGCAGCATCTCTCTGTCATAAGAGTAAGCCAACAAACAGAATGGAAGTCTTACAGAAGGAAGTTGAGAGTGCTGTTACCTTAATATGTCAGAAGAAGCTAATGGAGCTCTATAGGCAGAGAAACACATTGGAACTTCCAGTCTTGAACTCTGTTGCTATTGCTGCTAGGGAACAGCCTCCTCCTTCAACTATAGGTGCTTCTTGCTTGTATGTCATGTTCAGGCCTGATAAGAAACTATATATTGGAGAGGTATTTCTCTGATCTACTCGTTTTATTGTTGATTTGACCTTTTACGTTACACACAGAAACTTGTAGCTCCAACGTAGATCTTATACCATGCATTTGTCTTTGCAAACAGACGGATGATCTTGATGGTCGAGTTCGTTCTCATCGTTCGAAGGAAGGGATGCAAAATGCAACCTTCCTTTATTTCATTGTCCCAGGGAAGAGTATTGCCCGCCAACTAGAAACTCTCCTCATCAACCAACTCTCAAGTCAAGGCTTCCCACTCACCAATCTGGCCGATGGCAAGCATCAGAATTTTGGCACATCCAGTCTCTCATTAGGCAGCATAACTGTCGCCTAATGAGTTAAAAAGGAACCATGGTTCATGTTTCCATCAAATGTAAATGTAATTTTTGTGACAACAACAGATTTCGAATCCATGTAACAGTGGCTGCAGCAATTTTGCTTTTGATTTCAGTTGCTCCACTTACTGTGTTGTACATGCAATCACCCATGTAGCAAAGGGTAAAATTTTGTAATTAGAACTTATCAGCATGTATCTATGAGTCCATTTTGAGGTGTATATGAGTCAGTGTTGCATCTTTGCCTAGCATTTCAGTCGAAGATTTGTAACAACTTATTATTCTTTTAAGATTAAGGTTTCTTATTATCAGAAAAAGAAAAATTAATGTAGTTTTTATTTCGTTAAACTTTTCTTTGTTCATTTTAAAGATTATAATCTAAAACTTCCATCGATCAAGTTTTAAACTTAACATTATGGTGCCTCTCGAGAATAAGATTAAGAATAGTAAACATTAAGTTTTGAGCTTTAATCATTACGGAGATTAAGCTTTCTTTTAATCATGGGTTTATGCTTTAAGTTGTATTGTTGATTCATTAATACTAAAATGTTATGCACGTATAAAACCGTTATAAGTGAGCTGCGCGGTTTAGACGAATCTCCCTCTGACAAGGAAAGAAAAATTCCCTTCCTTTCACCTCTCAAATCCCTCGAATTAAACCTATTCAACATTTTCCATTTCATTTTCCCATCAACCAAACAGACGAGAAAACTTAACGCAAACTTAAAAAAAAAGAAAAATGGACAAGGTAGTGGAAGAAGTGGAGAAGACAAAGAGAGAGTGGGACGAAGCCTATGCAAAGAACCAAGAGCATGTAAAGGAGATTCAGGAATATGGGAAAGCAACAGTGGAGGAAACCAAAAACAAAAATTCATTGCCCAGATTAAATGGGTTGGCTCAAGATGGATTGGCTTTGCTTAATTCGTTGCAGTTTAATCTTGATCTTCTTGCTCCACAGCTTCCTACTGATGAAGAGGTCCAGTCTGCTAAAGCTTTACTTGAATCTTGGAAAAGTCAATGCCAAAGGTAAATTTAACCCCTCATTTTTTCTCTCTTGAGTGGAAATTTTGAGTTTGTTTTCAGCAAAGATGTAATTTTCTTGTTTGTTTGCTTTTGGGTTTTTAGTCCTTGTTTCAAAATTGAAACTTTTAATTCCAGTGTTATTGGTTTATTTATGATTTTGTTTTTCATTACTTGGATTTAGTAGCAATTTAGCAAAGCTTGTTGTTAGTATTTTAATTGCTCTTATATGTTCTGATAGGACTCGATTGTTATTTCTGTGATTAGTTTGAGATTGAGTTTAAGGAATGCGAATTTGCAAGCAAAGGATAATATCAGGAAAACTGCTCAGAAAGAGGTAATAGATTTCTTTTACAAAGGTTGAGTTTTTTTTTTTGCTTCAATTTACCATTTTTTAAGTTCTGTTACACACTGATACGGATATCCCTTGGTTAAACATCTTTTTGTTTTGACAGTATCTGAAAATGGATGTTTTTCATACCTAGTTTGATAGTTGTGCTGTTAATTGCATTATGATTTTTCATTTTTGTTATTATTTTTTCAAGAGAGACCAAGTTACGGATTTGATTTTATATTTATGTATGTTTTGTAGAGAGAACTTCTTCTGGGTGGTGGAGAAGAATCCACGATTCGTCGGCGCAATTTGCAGTATGTATTACTAGTATTTCTTTAGCCTTTGATGACATTGACATTAATGTAGCTCCCCTTATTTTCATGTGATTGTTTGTACATTGGGTAATTTTCCTTGGCGGTAAAATACTATAATTTTCTGGTATTTAATTTGCTGTGTTGTTTTTCATGTATAATTCATAACTACTTCAGGACAAAGGCTGGAATGACATCTGCTGCAGAAAGCATCACAGAGAGCCTTCGCCGTACACGACAATTGATGGTTCAGGTGAGTAATGTGATTTTTTCGCTTTTGTTTCTTCCTTGTGTTTATCATCAATAAGGTTGTAATATGGTTCTTTGTCGGTTGCTCAATGTGATTTCGTTGCATTACATCTACATGCATATAGGAGGTGGAAAGAAGTACAAGCACACTCATGACTTTTGGTAGGTCTTTCTATCCCTATTCCAAAATGTATTATTTAATGAAACTTGCTGAAAATAGTGTGGTGTTACAAAATTCAGTACTTCAGGTGGCCCTTAGCTGAATGATTCTATCCAAATGACACTGTCCTGTTCATCTATGAGATTTGATTTCAGCTTGATGTTCTGCTCAGCAAACTGAGATGAATATTCTGTTTTGGTTTGGCCAATATGGTTCAGAAGGAGAAAGACTGGTTTTATGTGCATTAGATTTGTTGACTTATATGTGTTAATGTATAGAGGAATCAACGGGAGTATTAAGGAAGGCTGAAAGTGAATACAAGGGGCACCGCTCATTGTTAATGCGAACCCGGAATCTACTCTCCACAATGCAGCGTCAGGATGTTATTGACAGGTATTAAGAAATTAGGTTTTCCTTTATATTTTTGTAGTGACTAACAATCTGAGGATATCATTGTTGATGCTGCGTTCTGTTTGTTCAGGGTGATACTCATAGTGGGATTTGTCTTGTTCTCTTGTGCTGTACTATATGTTGTTTCAAAGCGTATTGGCATACTTAAGTTGCAGAGGACAGTTACTGCAGCCATAAGGGCCGGTATGGCTGGAAAACCAGATGTTGCTCGTAGAGCTGTAGAAGAAGGTATTAACCATGCCCAATTTCCTGACAATGTAGTTCCCAAGGTGGGAATCCCTTTAGAGCAACCCATGCATGATGAACTTTGAGGTAATGTAGTTTATGTTAAAGAAACTACCACATTGCCCATCAAATGCACGGGTTTGTTTTTGTTTCTTTTTTATGAGAAAGGAAATTAGTTTAAGAAATGTTCTATTCATAAAACATAAGAGAATGGGTAATGGAGCTGTGATATGGAAGGAGAAGCACATACGCATTTAGAAAGACTACTACAATACATCTGGAGACTGGAGTTATAATGCTTGACTATTGTTTAAGGTCATTCATTCCTAACTCTATTCTTGATCTCACTTATTATAGTATGTTTATATAGATAACATGTCTAGAAATGCATCTGGCAACCATTTCCCTCCTTTCTCCTGAAATTAGATTATTCTGGTGAAATATGTAGGTCTTGAATCATAATTGAAGAAAAGATAGTTGATAAAGTAAAAACAAGAACAAGATGACCTTGGTTTCAGCTGTATCTCATTTTCTGGATGTGGCTGCAAAAGCTAGTCATTTTCCAAATTCAAATATTTACAGTTTCTATGTATTCAAACTGAAAAAAATCATACATATGGAACATTTCATCACTAAAGAGAAGAAAAGAAAAAGGAGGGATTGAATGAAAAATCAGCTAAATATGGCATATTTATAAGATATAGCTAGCTCTTGTGACCAAAGGGATTGCAAATTGATGACCAATGCAATAGTTGGTGAATAAATGTAAGTGCAATTATGCCAAGAGCCAAAAATTTTTATGGGTCTTTGTGTTTAGGACATAACCACCATTTTGTCCCCTTTTCTGCACTCCAACACAGGTGCATTGGCTGTTCTCAATCAAATAATCTGCTGTGTCTATCAGTTTTGCTCCTCTCATTGACCCGCTAGATCGCTTATATCTGTTTGGTACATGCGGAAACCAGCCCAAAAGTTATTAATTAATCTCTCGCTTTTTACCATTCATATTTACCATTGATATGCATGGCAAAAGACTAGAAGAAAAGGGTGTGAAACTCACCCAAGTATTGCTGAAGAGAGACTCCGCCGCTGCCCTATGATGAGAAGATCGATTCCTAAAGCTTTGCACTTGGAAAGAATTACGGTCGCCTTGTCCTTGCCATCGATGTCGGTTTTCTCTATGCGTACAGGGATATTAGGCTGAGCAATCTCACAGGCACGTTTCATTTGGTCAAGAAAATCTATGTCAGTTGAAGCTCCTTCAGGGACGGAAGGAGCTGTGGAAGTCGAAGAAAAACTGGGTTTCCTGAGGAAAGTAGAGAATGTGTTTTTCCATGAATTGGGGTTCTCAACATGAAAAAGAATCAGCTCGTCTTGCTCTAGCATTGCATGGGAAAGAGCATATTGGAGGGCTGCCGCTGAGTGGGGGGTCGGGTCAGCTACCACCATTACTTTCCGTTCCGGTGGAGTCACCATCAATGGCCACCGCCGCACCAGCAAAACAAAACAGATAAAAAAAACAACCAACACCACCTAGAAAGAGAGGTTTGGAATTGCGGAAAAAAGAATGGCATGCGATATGAGGTTGTCATTTTGGTTATGAGCCTATCCGTAGGTTAACCATTAACAAATAGTCAGCTTTCATTTTGTGATTGACAAGTTAAGAGATTGGTGGCTTTGAGCTATTTTTTGGGGGGTTATTAAGTCAGTTCTGTCTGGTTGTACCCTAAATTTAGTGAATAATAAGACTTGGTCAATGCCGCCAAAGGCCAAAACCTCTTGCAAGTGAAACAACATCTGTTTACACAATATAGGGAGAGGACTGTGGATTTTATCAAATTTCAGAATAAAGTAATCATGAGGTAGGATAGGGGTCTCATTACATTTCCCTGAAACATCTTAGAATCCCCATTTGTAGGTAGGAATAGCTACTAAAATTCTTCCATGAAAATGGATGGAGATGACTACTAACAGAGTTTGAACCCTAAGGTGGCATCAGTAACGGAAGCAAATTTTTGCCAGTTTCCCACTCGTTCCACGGATAAATTATTTGAAGATTTTGCAAAGCTAAATTAAACAAAACAGACTATTTGGACTGCTATGTAAAGTTTCTTTCAGAAATTATCAAGAGAGCTTTACCGGAGAGATCAAACAACAAGAAAAGCAAAGGAAATAAAGCAGAATAGACATTGTTTTTCATTTCAAGAACTCATCTTTCACGTACATCACCAAAAGTTTTTCTTGGCATAAACAATGTATAATGATCTAAGAAAGTTGTTGCAGACTGTAAGGCTTCCCTAGCATGGCTTGGGGTCGGGGATGATCCAGCAAGGCGGTGGCAGAATCTGCTCTGAAGAGTATTCGTAAATTGGCTTCACAGTTCCATCTTTCAAGTTGTATACGCCCATGTCATGACCTCCATACGAGTAATCTTCCTCCATTCTCTGAAAGTAATCATCAGTGTAATAAATCAAGTTCCCTTTACAGTCGGGAAAAGATTGAGTCGAGACTGAAACAGATTGATTTCCACCCAGAAACAAAACTCGATCACCCAAAGCTGCCATTTCCACCCATTTTAGCTCATTGAAATCCAACTTATAAACATGAAATAAACATGTTCTATATGAACAAACCCAGTCTAAAACATCTCCTTCCTGAACAAGGTTCCCATCCGAATCCACAAACTCACCAATGAACCTGACAACAAGCAGGATATCCCCACACGATTCAACCAAGTATAACTTGATGGTGCAAAGATCTCCAAATGAATTTGCTTTGGCGAGTGACTTCTCAGGAAAAGTTGGAACGATGTGTATTCTTTTTGACATAAAATCGCCTTCACAATTCCATATTTCAATATTATTCCCCTCACTCAATGCAAAGAGAAGATTTTGGTGGCATATAATATCTTGGTAAGGTGCATGCCTGGTGTCAAGAACTTCAGTCCAACAACTACCTCCACTCTTATGATATGCAATCCTTCCATCTTTGAGCAGCAAGATCACACTATACTTTTTATTGCAATCTGGTTCTCCTGTCAGGATTGCTTTCCGTATGAAATAATATCGTAGTTCTTGCTTTCCATAGTAAACCTTAGGATCGTTAAAACGTTCGACTTCAAAGTCACCATCCGCGGTTCTTTCCATTCTCCGTAAACCTAGCAGACCATATAAGGAAGGAAGTGCTATTTTCACTTGCCTGAAAGGGTGGAAGAGAAACGGCACAGCTTTTTCCTCCAAGAAAATCAGCCACCCGTTTGATGATCCAATGCAGCAACTTTCCCTCAACTCCTTTGGTATCTTTTTCATGCTACAAACCTCGCTCTCCCCAAGTTTCAAGAAGCCACTGTAGGCCCTCAGGTTAGATTCAGTACCATCTCCTCTTTCTACTTCTTCTCTTGAAGGAAGCATAAGCCAGGGCGTCTTGGAAACAAACTCTTCTCCAAGTTCGTTCCAAGAGGAACAAACAACTTTCGCTCGAATAATATCAATCAAATCGAGCCTCTCGAAAACTGACCTCAGGATTTCATCGGGAACAAGATCAAAAACGCTTAAATCATCAGGACTTTTCATCCTCCTTTGGGTGGATGAACGATCGACGCTACTTCCCATTCTCTCAGCTCGAAACACCATTATGAGAAAATTATGAAAGAAAGAGCTAAATTCTAAAGTTTGGAATAATACCAGTAAATAACTAGAAGGAGTTGTAAAATATATAAGTAAAGTTACTTCAAATTCTTTTACAAATAGGATTACTTGGTAGGAGCAGAATTATTGTTAAATTCTGTAACTAATAAAACTTATGGTTTAAGAAACCTTTAAAGGGTGGGATGAAATCTTGATTCAATTAATTTATATTAAGATTTACAATTTAAGGATTGTTTGCTTTGACGTAAAATTTTTTTAAAAAAATATTTTTAAACCTTATACTTGTTTGAAAAACATAAAATTTATTTTAAATATAAAATATTTTAAGAGTTTTTTTTTTTAAAAAAAAATTGAACATTTCATTCATCAGCAGGAGAGAACAATTCTTATAGAGAAAACGAGATCAGCTTCAGGTTTTAAATTGCTATCTTAACCTATAGCAACTTAAAATTCAAGTTTTGCAAAAGGTCACAAAACAAGATAATCTCAACCCTTTCCTGTACAAAGACCCCTTCCTTCCCAAAAAGGGTTCATGACAACTCCTATACATCATTTCAACCTATATGTTGAAGATCCTATCAACAAAACAAAACCAGAGTCAAAGTAATATCAACACAGCACAATTCATCTCCTTTCAGCAGCAGCCATGAAGCTTAAAGTTTCAAGTCAAAACCCAATCAAATCACACTGTCAATTCCTGTGCATCCCTCACCACACCATAAGCAAAAACATACCTGCAGTGGAGAACCAACATCCTGGTCCAAGCTCTCTTCCTATCTACTCCGAGACTTTAAACACATTGTCTTGTTTACGAATCCCTTCTTTTGTTAACCTGTCAGCCAGGTGATTTTTTTCCCTAAAGATATGAATGACCTTCTACATTTTGGTTTCCTTCTTCAGCAGCTCAATTTGGAGGATCCATTTCCTCATTCGCCAAGGTGAACCTGCAAGGTAATTAATCCATTTAACGGCATTAATTGAGTCACTTTTAATGATCAAAGTGTGGGACTAAATCCATTTCGAAGCTGAGAAAACAAGGAAGGCCTCCTTAATAGCCATTACTTCCAACTAAGTTGGAATCACCCTCTCCAATGGACTTAGAAAATAAAATCTTAATAAAGCCCTTCTCATCTCTTAGAGCACCCCCAATGCTAGCCTTCTCAGTACATTATATTAGCGAGCTGTTCCGTCCGCATTAAATTTTATCTTATCTTAACTTGATTTAGTTCAATAATTTATAACTTTATGAGTTAGTGAAAAAGACAACAATTGATTATGAAAAATATCTTACATCTATGAGGAGTATAAGATATTTTTTTAAAAAAAAAAAAACTCTCGTACTATGTCTAAAATTATAGATTTAATAAATATTAATATTTAATTAAAAATATTAAAAAATTAAAAAAATATTAATATTTAAGCTCCACATGACACAAAACTATTACTCCACATGGCGTAAAGGTAAGTCACTAACTTCTTTTTATATATATAGTTATAGATACATAATTAAATATTTTTAAAAATATTATTATTAATTTTATTTATTTTTATATTATTTTTTATTTTAATTTCAGTAAAAATCAAATGACATCATTGTTTTGTAATAAACTATTACTTATCATCTTAACACCTAAATAATTTCACGACGAAAAATATTTTTCACATGATGAGTCAAACAATAAAAAATATTTTCAACAATTTATACAAATAACAAAAAACAATCTATTTTTTTATAAAATATTTTACACTGAAAATTTTTTTATTAGACCCAATTTTACTTGGGCCGGTGGAAACTAGGTCCAGGAAACTATTGCTAAGCCGAAGGTTTCTTGGGTCAATTAACTGGTTATGTATGCTGGAAGATTTATATTGGATTGTCTAATTTCATTGACAAATCGACAACCATATAAGCTATTTATAAAACGAACACCAAAATCTGGATCATTAAAAATAGGAGGGTCTGGATAATAAATTGGTTATTGCTGAAAAAGGACATGGCGGTCCAAATTAAACAATGCCAATTTTCCAACACAAAAAGGTGAAAAAGACAAGAGCCCAAAACCAGGGCAATGGCTTGAATTCTGAACACCCAACTTTCTACATTTTACCAGCAAACATGACTCATGACTCGCTATCTGCTGATATAATAAATCATTATAACGTTACAAGAGGCAGTCATCAGTCTTTGATATCTCATTTGTTCCTTTAATGATGCAAGTTATCCTACAAAAAGAATTTGTCCTAGAGAAAGGAGATTTTCATGTAATCTACTACAAGATGGTGCCATGTAAAGTATTACATGAGCTCGCAATTGATAACTCTCAGTACATAATATGATTCACAGGCAGAACTTTCTTTGACTGCGACGGCATCTGAACATTTTATTGGTGGAGCATCACAAGCTCACAACCAGTCAGCCAAACTTCAATGCATTATCAAGCTAGATCAAGAACAGAAGATCACAAGAAATTTCTGTGGGAAGGCAAACATGTATGCATGGACATGTGTCTGTATCTATTATTATTGTTTTCATTTAATTTTTGAAAAAAAAAAATCCATGCCCTGATACCTACTGACGAACTTTTCAACTTTTGACATTTAATTTCTCCAAAAGGATTTTGTTCAAAAGTCCAGGGTTTGCTTTGCCTTTTGATATTCTCATTACCTGCATATAATCACAATTTTCAGACGAAAAGTAACTGAGTACCAACAACTTCACACAATAGCAGAAAATGTAGCTACATTTTCCATACCTGACCGGCGAAAAAACCCTGTAACTTAGTTTTGCCACCACGATATTGTTCTAGCTGCTTTGGATTTTCTGACAGCACTTTATCTACCATTTTCGCAATCTCGACAGGATCTACTATCTGCAAATTTTGGAACATATGTTATCTTTCATAATTCTCAACTAAAACAATTATTTCAGTCACTAATATCAAACACATTACACATCATGTTAGTTGGATTTGGGTGTATATCAATTCTCCCCCTATATATCACTTTATGTAACTCCCATTCAACAAATCTACTAACATTGCACATTTAGTGTGAGGAACAACGAATTTCACTTGTCAACCCCAGGCCGAAGTCCAAGATCTGCACCTTCCAATTAAGTTATAGATTGGATTGAATTGAAGCTAGTGTCATCAATCAAGTCTCACTTATCTACAAACAGCATTCACCAAAAAGTTTCCCTCAGTTTGCACAGCAATTTATGATTACTCTAGCTCAAACTTCTAGTTTCTCCTTCCATGCTCAAATACTTCAGGACTAACACTTCACTGGTGAGTTTATCTTAAAAGACATATACATCTATGAATAAAGGGCTCGGAAATTGGAAAAGTAGCTAACTTGCCTGAACTAGATCCTTCTCTTCTATCAGTCCCTTGACGGTACCACCTTTGGCTAGCAGCTCAAACAATATCTGCAACATTGTAGGAGAAATTGTTACAAATAATTGATCTACAACACTTCCAAAGAATAATAGTTTTGCACAGGAAATTTAATAATTCTTTTTCAATCATTTATATACAAGACAGTATCACTTCCCGAAGGCATCCCCTGCAGCAAACTAGTAAAAATATGACAAATGTCTCTACTAACTCATATAATACCCACATATTACACAGTTGCAGACTCTCAAAACTTTGGGCCGTTTCACCAGTTGCTAAACTTATGGTCTTAATATTTCTCTAAGAGCTTATATCTACGAGGTAATTGCTTGCCCACTTAGCACTACATCTCCAAAATTAACAAGTTATTTTAAATCTTTATCAGCAGAAAGTTAATCAGGCATTTAGCCGAGGGATAAGAAGCAGGAGAAAACTTCTATAACTAATTATCTAATTGATAAAGGAAAAGATTTTTATTTCTCCTGTTCTCTTTCTTTCCTTTTTCTTTTTTCTCTGTGTGTGTGTGTGTGTGGTAGAGGAAAAAGACAGGGAGGAGAAAAGCACTTGGAAAGATTATAAAGTTTGGATTAAAAAAAAAACATGAACAATAATTATATATCCAAACAAACTATTAAATCACATCTACACAGTGGAGAATAATAGCTAGAAAAATTCTTCCATGAAAATGCATAGACAGGATTACTAACAAAAGTTTGAACATGAAAGTGGCATCAGTTAAAGAAGCAAATGTTTACCTCTTTTCCAATCTTTCCACTGATAGTCCCACTTTTAATGGAAGCTATCAGCTCTACTAGCTCTTCTGGCATAAGTTTGATCTCTTTAATAGAAAGCTTTTCATTTTTCATATAGGCAGCAATATCACCCATTATCCAATTGGCAGCCAACTTAAAGTCAGCACCCCTTGAAATTGTTGCATCAAAGTATTCTGCCACCTAAGACATTAATCAAGTACAGAAGAAAGCACAATTTAGATCATTGTAGTATAATCCCATAGAGGAATTAAGAAGGATGCAAGGACTTGCAGTAATGTTAAGTAAAATTTCATAAGGCAACTGTCTGCAAAGCTTAATTAACACTGTTTGTCAAAAGAGGGCCAGGAAAGATGAAGGAAAACATTATGGAAACCAAGGGATTCATGTCCTAAAGTGATGCACTCAAAAAGCATACCATAAAATTGGAATACTAGGCTCATGTCGTTAAATTGGTTCAGGGGAAGAGTGGCACTTAATCATATTCTGAAAATAGCAATAAGAATCATTTCATGAGCAACAAGCTACAATAGGTTAATACATTAAGTTATCACCCTTCTGTTTAATATCACAATCCAAGGTGAATCTAATGATCCTTTTCCATTTTCTTTCTTCAATGTTGCCTTTAGCTTTTTGGGTTTTTGAATCCAGACTAATGATTTGGTAGATGCTGGTCGAAACATTACTAATCATTATAAACATAGGAAAGTACTTTGAGGACTCACATTTACGTCATTTGCCAGGAAAAGAACATCCTGCATGCTTAGGCCCATCTTCTCATACCTCCGACGCTTCATTTCTGGAAGTTCTGGCAAAGAATTGTGAATGCCATCAACATATTCCTGAGTGAGAATAACTTCAGGGAGGTCTGGTTCTGGGAAATAACGATAATCAGCAAGTCCTTCCTTCTTCCTCATTGTAACTGTTTTCTACATAAAATGATGAAGGTTTGTGGAGTTCATAAGTAACAATGAAATGACAGGTCATCCATTTCTTATGTATGAACACTAAATTGATATTAAGATGCAGCTCTAACCTGAGCACCTTCTTCCCATAGACGAGTTTCCTGAACAATTTGATCACCATGGCCTTGACTATGGAGACTCACCTGCCTTGCTATCTCGAAATCAATGGCCCGGTTAATTGATGAAAATGAGTTCAAATTTTTTATCTCAACCTGCCAATATAATATAGGATTTTTAATGTCAGATGTTGCAGAAGTACTACCAACTACATGCCTCTGAACTTGCCAATAAGCATAATTGCAAAGAATTACTAGGGCTTCACATTAAGATCTTGGCTTATTTAGAGAAAGCAAGGAGGAGGGGAAGCAAAATCAGCAATGCCACACTCCCATCACTTCTGCCCCAATGGTGCAGTTGGCTGTGACCATATTTTACTGTGTCATCAAGGCTTCCTATAATACCAGTCAGAATTGGATATATCTTGCTACATTCTAAAATTTAAAGAAAACAAGACTTCCTTTCATGTGATTAAAACAACAGAAAGCCTGAAAAAGGGACAACTTTCACTTCAAATACTTCTGTTGTTGTTTGTTCTTAACAGTTTCACTGTGAAGTTCTCTGAACTTTTTTTTTTTTTTTTGAAAATTAGATTCATTTTAAATCAAAAGCAGGGGAGACACCTGAATATACAAGCCACTGAAACCCGACAATGGAGGTATCAAGCTGGGATCAGTTGACAGAACCTGGCCTGCAAAAATTGCCAGTAAAGTCCTCTGAACTTTTAAAAAGGGCTTTAATCAAAATAAAGCCAGTAGTTTATTTTTGCAGGTTGTTGAATAATCAAAATAAATTCATGCAGCCTTCCCACAACCATGACGACCAAGGATTGCAAACCTACAAATATTTTAGGGCACTAACTTAACCAGTTCTCCACTGTCATCATTTCCTTTGACTCACCCAGTTTATTGTCCATTCTACTTACTTTGGAAGTACATGCATGCTGATCATTGTATTTATTAAATTTTCTATCAGCAAGCCAATAAATCATACCCCATACCCCTTAAAAAGACATATGCTAAACCTTAGATCCAAATCTTTTAAGCAGGGTATATGAAGCCTCTATGTACCTTTGTCCCAAACTCTGATTGCCCGACTGGTCGAATTGATACATTTACATCACAGCGAAGTGAGCCTTCTTGCATATTCCCATTACTCACTCCCAAGTATCGAACCACCCTCTGTAACTCTGCTGCATATTCAGCAGCTTCAATCCCAGTTCTCATATCAGGTTCGGAAACAATCTCAAGCAAGGGCACCCCTGCTCTATTTAGATCAACCTGCAAAAAATAACCAATGGTGTCAATTAGCAGAAGAAAAAGACACAATAGAATTGCCTCCTAAGCCCCCTAAATTTGGCAAAGGAGACAAAAGAAAGGAAAAAGAGATAGCATAACAAACTTTATATCTCCCATTAAAGTGCCAACAAAATGAAATACCATTATACATGTATAAACAAACTACATGATAGAATCAGCACATAAATAAACTTGAGTTAACCCACAAAAATTATGACTAGAACCTTATTGCAGCAAGAGGAATTGCAATGCTGTTAGACAAAGAAACTAATTTCATTTACAGAAGAAAAGAAAATGATATGCTCTATGATTGTATATATTATCCAGAAAACTTTTGAACAGATATACTTTAATGTTACAGAAGTAATTTCCTGAGAATAATCTCCATTTCCAGAATGAAGTAGCTTCCCTGCATCCTCCTCCATGTGAACTCTGGTAATACCAAACTTCCTATGACCACCACCAAACTCAAGAGGAAGATCCAAATCAATGTAACCACCAGTTGCAATTGGGATATCAAACTGAGATATTTGGTAACCCTTTGGAAGGTCTGGATAGAAGTATTGCTTTCTATCAAACTTTGAGTTCAGAGATAGCTTGCAATTGAGCGCAAGACCCAATTTCACTGCAAATTCAATCACTTTTGAATTTAAAACCGGCAAGGCACCAGGCAATCCCATGCAAATGGGGCAGATACTGGTATTTGGTTGGCATCCATAATTGTAAGGACAACTACAAAAAGCCTTGGTGAGAGTTAAGAGCTGGACATGCGTCTCTATCCCAATTATTGCCTCATAGTCTCTTGTAATCTTCTCAAGTGTTTTGCTCCGAGTATGTTGTGAGACTTTGACTTTGGGAGGCTGCTGCTTTTCTTGTGTTGCTGTTTGAGTTTGAGTACTTTTCATTGTGCAGTAAAGAACACCGTTCCTTCTTCTACATATTGCAGTTGGGTAGAGCAAAAACGGGTGGATTTGAATAGTTCTAAACAGTGTGGAAGCCATCTTATTAATTGTTCACTTCAGCTGTTAAAATCATACAATTCAAGGACTCTCTCTCTGCAAAACATCAAACAGGTCATCAGCAAGCTGCAAAACACCGCCTAAAACCAAAGGAGGGAGGAGTGGCAAAAGAAAAGGTTATACAAAGCTTAAAACTTTGAACCAAAAAATGATGAAAGACAAAACTTGTTGAATGCCCAGTTTGAATTTCATGCTTTAAACTTGACAATCAATTAGAATATGCATTTATTCATAAATGCCCAGTAGGAATTTCAGTGAAAAACTCAAAAAGGAAATGATTTTGAAGGATACCAATTAAAAGAAAGGATTTTTAATGTAAAAATATAGAAGAAGAATTACATGTGAAACTGCCAAGGCAACATATTGGTTATTCATTTTATCCATAAGCTAGTTTGAAGCAGACAAACATAAGAAAGAACAGAACTTTGAAACATATAAAAGGCAGTTACAATTTGAAAGATTAAAAGTGCAAACTAAGGATAGTTCCTGCTTACTTGCCTGAACAACAAGGAGACTAAAACTGAGAGGCTTAACAGCCTACCACCAGTCATCCACATGAACTACAAAAACAAAAACAAAAAACAGAGAGCGGAAAATCAAATTCCAACGCCGTTCAAGTTGTCCCAGGACATTATAATCTTCTGGAAGCTTAACAAACGCAGTGGGCGTGCCGGAGTGGTTATCGGGCATGACTAGAAATCATGTGGGCTCTGCCCGCGCAGGTTCGAATCCTGCCGCTCACGAGGCTAAAATCCTCTTGGTTTTGGTTTAAGGTTTCCTCCGAAGTCTCAAAGTATAATTTAATTATTGAAACTTTAGTTGTTGGGCTGCAACCGTTGACATTATGTTGCAATGCCAAGCAGAAAGCTAAGAGAAATATCAAAATTTTTAATTTTAGATGTAAATTTGCAAAACTCACTTGCTTTGTCTAGATTAGTATGTTTATAGCTTTACCAGAGACATCAAGCAACAAGTAAGCAAATTAGAAGCTGAAGAGTTTACATTCATTATTAATGAAGCTGTTTCCATTACAAGACATTATCAAAATTTTTTGTTGACATAAAATATGTCTGAGAAAACAAAGGCAGTTGCTACAGACTGTTTTGAGTTCTCTGGCATGGCTTGGGATTTGGGATGACCCAACATGGTGGTGGCAGAATACTTCCTAAAAGAGAATTCATAAATTGGCTTAACCCTTCCATCTTTCAGGTTGTACATGCCCATGTCACGACCTTCCATTATTCTGTCCCAATAATCATCAGTGTAATAAATTGAGTTCTCTTCACAGTTAGAAAAAGATTGTATTGAAACTGAAACAGGTTGATTTTCACCCAAGAACAAAGCACGATTGCCCGAAGTTAACATCTCCACCCATTTTTGCTCATTGAAATCCAACTTATAAACATGAAATAAACGCGTCCTCTATGGATAGACTGTGGGCCGTTTGATGTTAGTATAAAAAACAGCTTCTTCACTAACCAAATTCCCTTCCTAATCCACAAACTCACCAATGAACCTCACAACAAGCAGGATATCCAGACATGAATCGACCAGTATAACCTGGTAGCACAAAGATGACCGAAGGAATTTCCTTTGGCAGCTGACTTCTCAGGAAAAAGAGGAACAATAATTTTATTTTTTATTCACCAAACCATCTTGAAATTTCCATATTTCAATAGTGTTCCCCTCACTCAATGCAAGGAGAAAATGTTTACGGCATATAATATCTTGGTAGAGTGGATGCCTAGCTTCAGGTACTAAGCAGCTTTTGCTCGAACAGTATCAATGGTATAAAGCCTGTTGAAGATAGACCTCAGGATATCAGCAGGAACTTGATCAAAAAGGGTTGATGAATCAAGCTTTTCTCTCGTCCCTTTGGTGGAAGAACAATGGAAGGTACTTGCCTTTGGCTTAACTTGGAATGCCATTGAAAGAAAACTAGGTAAAAAAAGGTACTTTGTCCTCTCTTCTAATTCTACCATAGAATTATATGCTTAATGTTTATTGTCATATTCATGTGATGACATTGGCCGCAGCCAATTTCTTATCCCTTGTCAATGTGTACAGGTTTTCAGCCAAATGGACAAGCTTCAATCTCTTCTACTGACAAGTTATTAACAACACAATTTTGCCTTACTTTAATATTTAACTTTATGTTTATATTTATTTGATATTTTAAGTTATTGTGTTTATGATAAATTTTAATCATATTAATTTAATTTTGGATTTCATATTTTAATGTGTATTTTTGTTATAAATTTGGATGTCAATAGTGAGTAATGAAGATTGATTATGATGATTTTTATTAATTTTGTTGATAATTTAAATAAAATCTCATCGGTAGTAATTATTGAATTACCGATGGAATTCCGCAAGTAATGATAATTTTTTCTGACGAATTGATATTACAATTTTCTATAAAGTTGGAAAAGAAAAAAGGAAAATCATAGCAAAGAACAAAGGCTTTGGCCCAAAAGGACGGTGGCTACCCGGCTACGCCCCATGTTTTGTTTGGGTCAGTTGCAGATTGGCCCAAAAGGAAGTGAACTCGTTCTGATTTTAAGTTCGACTCAAAGCTTCTTGGGAAGAAGAAGGCTTCCATCTCTTCTGCTCCTCTCTAATCTACCGAACCAACAAAAAAAAATAAAAACCGCAAGAAACAAAAAGGATTTTACCTTTCAAGGTTCTTCCATATCTGTTCTTAATATAATTTTTGCTTATATTCTGATTGATTTCAAAAGTCTGCTTTCGATCTTTTCCTTCTCTGAGTACTGCTTATTTCTCAGTAGATTCATTCATGCTTTCATGGCAACCCAGATGTTGAATGAATTTCCTTCCGTTCTGGGTATTTTCCAAATTTGTAGTATCAGTGGTGAAGTGATTTGTTTTTGTTCTTAATTAATTTTTTCTGTTTTGCTTTGTAGATTGTGGGGGGATTAAAAATGGCTGCTGGAGTAGTTCAGAAGTTCTTTATTACATCAATGTTCATGTGGGTAGCTCCTCTTGCAATTCTATATGGTTTTAACCATAATTTATTTCCCGGTAAGACCTCTAAACCCTTTTAATTTAATGTCTCAAGGATGACTTTTTTTTTTATTTTATATTATAGTAGAAAAGAATTGTAAAATTTTTGTTATATGCTATTGCTACTGATTTATATATATTAGGTTGCTTCAATCTCTTTTCTTTTCTTTTCGTTTCTTTTTTTTTTAAAAAAATTGGGTGCCTTTCACCAAGTTTAGCGGATTGTTATTTATTCATGAGTAGTACATCTCTTAACTGTTAGCTTCTGTAGTATAAATCAAGGTTTAAGTTGATAATAGATTTACAGTAAAATCATGGTTGGTGCTTAAAACGTTAAACCAACTGGTTTTGAAACTTCGAGCTCTTAGTTGAATTGAACAGTTTACATGTACATAGGTGCAAAATCTCTATTTTCTGATATCTTGCAATTATCAGTTCTATTCCCTAACCTAGCAAACAGGGTTATTCAGTTGATATACTGAACCACCATACAAATCCCTCCAATATGATTTTAGCAAATTGATCTATGCAGAATCACCATCAAGAAAGAAGTTGAATAAAACTTTTTCTGATATAATAAGTTATTATCATTGCAACAGCATCAAGTTCTGGTAGAGAATAAACACGCTTCATGTCTGATGGTTCTTTTAGGCTATATATAATGAAGTTGACTGAACAAAGAAGTGTCATTTGTATGAAACAGGTTTATCAAATTTATCTCCCCATGCTATGACGCTGTTGAGTGGATTCGTTGCTGTAATATCAGTCAATATAGTCATTGCATTCTACATTTGTATGGCAATGAAGGAACCTTCGGATAAGCATGAGCCAGATCCAAAATTTCTTGCTGATGCCAAAGCTAGTGTAAGCCAGCCAACAGGTGAAGCTACCACCTCTTCACAATCCCTAAAGAAACAAGAATAGAATAGCTGAAGCCCAGGACAAGTAACCATAGTGGAGAGAATATAACAATGGGGTCTGTGCTCACTGCTGTTGAGGCAGAAGTTGATTTCTTTCTATATTTTGTTGTATATTTAGACTCTTTGCTTTTGCTTTTGATTCCAATCTCATGATTTCTTTTATTGTTAGCTTGTTTTGACCTGCACTTACTGAACTTATACTAATTATTCAAGCTGTCAGCCCAAGCTTTTTCCAGTGTGTGGTGCTGATGTCATAATCCCACAGTGGATGTTGCATTTAAGTGTTATGCTTTGAATTTCCCGTCACTCTTAACCTTCTTGGTTCATGTGTAAAATCACCAGTACATGTTTAATCCAGTCAAGATTTTCTGTTGCTGATAGCTATTGCAACCAGGACCTGCTAAAGATCGTTCATTCCATATGCTTCTTGATTGAAGAAATGCTATTGCTTAGGTTTATTAACATAGGTAGTAGAGATAAGTCCATTCCAACGAGGTGGAATCATATATATACACACACCGAGTCCCATGGTCTAATAGTAACCAATGGAAGCCAGGAGATTTGAGGCATGCGTAGAAAATAATGCTGTTGGGCATCCAGGCATTCATGGCAAACAAATATTTCAAGAGGGTATAGGACAGGAAATTTGATAAATGCATACCAAATCATTTCATCCTCCGAAGATGGGGCTGTTAATGTTATGCAAATGATATCAAGTGCTATTGATGAAACATTCTGATATAACAGAACTCCGGTTTTCATTGTTCACTGCAATTTCGACACAGTGCATTGAGCACATTCGCTTGAAATTTAAAGCATATGACAGTGTGGGTCCTTTTTGACTGAGATTATAACATGCAATACATGATTAAAGGTTAGTTGCAACATCTACTTAGCCAGCTCAGAATGTACATCAACCTTATTTCTGATGATTTCAGCATGAAACAATTGAATAGCTAATACCTGCTGCTTAAGCCAGGATCTTTTGTATCAAAGAACCACCCATTTTATAGCAAAGCATATTAAAGAGTAACTAGGAGTTGAAAATAAAACATAAGCAATGGAGACAATTTACAGGCAACTGAATTCTTGTTAAGTTTCAAAATTTCTGTTCAATAACTGAAGGTGGCAAAAATGATCTCAATCTGTAATGTCAAAACAAAGCTTAGCCTCATCCCAAGGGCCATTGATCTCAAATTTGTATTCCTGAATCCTTATAAGCCAGTAAGGACAAACCACATTAACAAAGACTAACATTCCCACCAGTAGCACAAAAAGTAGGCGATGCAGGCTATAAACAAAAGTCAAAGTCACAGCCATCAGTGCAAAGGAGAACAGAAGATGCAAGCGAGAAGAATATTTCCTGATACAATAGGTGACCAATGGTGCAAAGAGGAAGACTTGTAACGAGAATAGCATAATAGCAAACACATGTAATCTTGATGGCAGTCGAGATGCTATGAAAACTGAAGCAACAATAGAAGCATTTAAGGAGATACAACTAGTCAAGTTAGGATTCTTAAGAGCCCCTGGAGCTCTTATTGTAGATCCAGAATAGTCATGTAAGAAAAGATGAAGCAAGAGAAGTGAAACAGTTACTGCCCAAATGGAATCAGAGCTAATGGACCTTGTCAAGGTTTGGTAGATAGGGGCCAAAACGTACAAACCAGTGGTAAAAAAGGAAACATTGAGGACATAGTGCAAAAGAAGGTTGAGGGAGAGCATTTCTTCAGTTAATAGGAGAATTAAGAAACCTGAACCAAGAAGGCTTACATCAAGAAGCAAGAGGGAGTTTTCATTGAGGGTTGACCTAAGGGTGTAGGTCCAGACAAGCACCACAAGAGCCACAACGCATAGATATTGTGAGATAGACACTGAATCCTGCATCACCTTGAGCATATTCCTTTTAACAACATTAGCGTTCATGACCATGTCTTCAAGGAAAGTGTCATCTGTGTGATTGTCATCAAAACCAGGTTGCATCCCTCCATATGCAACTTTTCTCCATTTGTATCGAGTTGGAGAAGAATCACCACTGATGCTTGCATCCATTACAATAGCCCTGCTGTATGGCAAATGCAGCTTCCTGAGCTTCAGATTGTCATAAAGCAAAACAGTTATCTTCTAGAGGAACATTTGCTTCCATAATATTTAACTCTGTCAGATTCTAAAAAGGCAATCTAAGATTCAAGATTGTTTTACCACTGCAGGATTGCTGGTACATTATACAAAGAAAGCTGTTCAAATATTGCACAACTTGATATCTAAATATATTAAGAGCTTTGCTATTTTAACAGCTCAAATGATTGGATTGTCTATCAACTATAAACAGGAAAGGGGGGCCCAAATGATTAAAACATTGCATCTTGAATTTCTCTTCGAGAATAGGCTATAATACGTGCAATGCCATTATTGAAGAGGAAGAAACCACTTGGCTTAAAAACTGGTGGAAGCAATAATTAAACAGATGAATGGAACTATGTTCATTTTTCAGTAAATCAAGCCCAATAGGTATTGAATTTTGAAAAGGAAGTTCATAATCAGAAATGAAAGCTTGTAAAATAAATTAAAAACTCTAAAATCGAACACAAAGGGGTTTCATCATTTGCCCTCACTTGCAAAGTTAATAATCAAAGGCAATCCCAGTTATCCAAAATACAAATATATGAAAGCTGATTCAAATTCATCCTTCAAACATTGAAAGGAATAAACACAAATCCACAGTCTCAGACAAAAAAGTGCAAAATTTAGTCAAAGCAATTAACGAGAGAACCCAGAATAAACTCATTACTAATGATTCAATGGCAGACCCCAAATAGATAATCATCAATTAAATCTACTTTTTGACGTGGGATTGTCTCAAAAATCAATTTTCAATGCCACAATAAACAAATTTCCCAACTCAAACCAATCATCTAAGCATAGAAACTGATCAACAATTGCCATGTCCAGCACTTCCAGCCATAAAAACTTAGACTTAACAATTAGAGGAGAAGAAGAAAGAAGATTGTACCTTAAATTCAGAGAAGAAGAAACGTTGGAGTTGAGCTGAGAAAACTGCGTTTTTTCTGGGTTTTGAAAGTTAGGAGCTTCAAGTAGGTTGATTGAGAACGCGATGAAGCCCATGGAGGGAAAGCTAACGTCTTTTGTTTTTCCCGGTAGAGAGAGGGCCACAAAGTCCAAGTGCCCAACTAAGCCTTACACAGAGCCCAAAGAAAGGCAAATTGAAGTTACCAATTATCAGCACGTGACTCTAGTGACAACCAAAAGGCAAATTAACCCACATAATCGTGACAGATTTAGAAGCTGTACCGTGACAACTATGTTGTTGTTATCTTGTGAAGGTTCGTTTTAATTGGGACCTATTTACTAAAAACAAGTATTGACCACAGGTCACCACAACCAGCGTCTCCCTGCCGCAAACTCCCTGCGCTAGAGCTCGTCACATTTCTTTCTGCGCTTGCGCCGCCTCTATTTCAGATAACATACAGAAAATCAACAGCCCTCTTCTCCTTTTACATTTCTCTGGTCATTAAGTAGAAGGGCTGAATCTTATGGCATCCTCTTTGGTTTCTCCTTCCCCAACTTCTTCCTTCATCAGCAACAAGGTCAGTGCTCTTGATTACCCATGTTCTAGGTTTTTGATTTTTGTTGATTATTTTGACTAATAAGCAAACTCCTATTTTTTTTGTTGATTGACCAGAAAGATTTGGGCTTCTCTGCTTTTCCTTCGACATCTCAAGTTGCTATTCGCAAATGGAAGAAACAAGTTTCCAAGAAAATCGTCTCAGTCATGGCACCCCAGCAATCAGAGCGTAAACCAGCCACCACCGGCTCTGTTAGTTCCTTTTTTTAGTCTCGTTGATTCTTTTTTATTGATTGTTCAGTGGATATTCATTGATTTTTTTTTCTATGGTGTTCTGTTTCAGGTGAAGACTGGAATGACAATGACAGAGAAGATTCTTGCCAGGGCCTCTGAGAAACCACAGTTGAGCCCAGGTGATAATGTTTGGGTTAATGTTGATATTCTGATGACACACGATGTTTGTGGCCCGGGTTCCATTGGTATCTTTAAGAAAGAATTTGGTGAAAATGCTAAGGTATTCGATTCATTAGATTCATCTACCATCTTACTTGCTTTTCTTTTTCTTTTTGGTGGGTTTAATTTTTTTTCTCTTACGCTAATTTTGTGCATAATTGAGCTCTTGATGATGCTTATTAGAATGTTAAATAGCTTTTTGTGTTTTTTTGTGATTTGATGAAATGACAATAGCTATGTCACTGCTGTAAGCTTCTTCTCGATGGGATACTGTTCAAGCTTCTAAACTTGTTCTGGTGGTTTCTCTTACTTTTTCGTTTCCCTATAAAATACTTGACATTTGTTTTAGCTTAGCAACTTAATTATTACATTGGTAGAGTAGAGCCTTGTGAGTGTGTGTGTGTGTGTGTGTGTGTTCACAACTATCTATTTGCAGAAGCTGAATTCATTAACTAACTATCCCATCGTTTTGGTATTGAAGGTTTGGGACCGTGAAAAGATTGTTATTATACCTGACCATTATATATTCACAAGTGATGAACGTGCAAATCGTAATGTGGATATTTTGAGGGATTTTTGCATGGAGGAAAATATCAAGTATTTTTATGATATTAAAGATCTTAGCAATTTTAAGGTATCACACTCTTGATCTTACAATTCATTTTCTAATCCACTATTCTGAGGAACTCAGGGTATATTCTCTGTTTGTTGATGTAAAACTGAATTATAATTCATAACATTGCAGGCTAACCCTGATTATAAAGGTGTATGCCATGTTGCACTTGCCCAAGAAGGTCACTGCAGGCCTGGGGAGGTATCAATATTTACCAAAATTGTTGAATTGTTAAACTTCAATTTATGGCTTATGTTTCTGAACTGCTGTTAAGTTCTTTACTCCTGCCTTCAGGTTTTGTTAGGGACAGATTCTCACACCTGTACTGCTGGAGCATTTGGTCAATTTGCTACAGGAATAGGAAATACAGATGCAGGCTTTGTCTTGGGCACTGGGAAGCTTCTGCTCAAGGTTCGTTAATTATGCTGTAATGTTACACTTGATTAAACGTGTTTCTTATCTTCTTTTGTGCATTCCTTGATATTCAGTTGGGTTTCTGCTAATTTTGTAACTTGTCAAATGTTCTCCTTTCCGTATTATCACTCTTTATTCCTTCAGTAATTAGTCAGGCATTGTATTTGGCTACCTTATCTGCTTCTTAGAGTTACATTTTTCCATAAAATTATTGACATTTTTTACTAAATGATAGTGTTTAAGATGATCCAACTTTGTTAACCAAAGTCATTGAAGGATTTTTTTGGCAAAGTTTCAGTGCCTTGATGAGTGGTTTTTCACTCCATGTTTTTGGCTTTAGGCATTTAAAGGTTTTATATGATGATTATCTTGGGTTTTTCTTTTGTGAATGGATATTGATGGTTTGTATGAATTTTGAAGGCATGTACAAACGGTGGATTAGATGTTGTAATACTTACATATGGTTTTGTTACATGTTCAATTGCAGGTGCCACCGACTTTGAGATTTGTGATGGATGGTGAAATGCCTCACTATTTGCTTGCAAAGGATTTGATTTTACAGGTAAGGTCATATATTGTCAGGCATTTGTACTGTTTTGGTGAGCATGAAGTCATAACTGTGCTCTCATGGGTATATTAATCTTGTTCATGTTGCATAATATTTTTATCCATATATTGGTAGGTCATAGAATGAGTATAGCTTTTTGTTCTGTTTTCTATTAAAATGGTTGATATTTTGCAGATCATTGGTGAAATATCTGTAGCTGGTGCAACATATAAATCCATGGAGTTTGTTGGAACAACTGTTGAAAGTTTAAATGTAAGTGAGTTTGAAATGACCCAGACTGATATAAAGTTATGTCTCTAAAAGTCTTTGGAGTTGGATTATTTTCTCTGGAAGAAAGCATGAATTTAATTTTTCTGATTACTTATACTGGCTAGATGGAAGAACGTATGACATTATGCAATATGGTTGTTGAAGCTGGTGGAAAGAATGGTGTTGTTCCTCCCGATAGCACTACATTTAAGTACCTTGAGGTGAGTGCATAATTGACTGCATTTGTTCCTATTTACTGCCTGGATCAACATGTACTCTTGCAACGAAGTTGTTTTCTTTGAATATTTGTTGCTGCTTTCCTGCCTAGCAGTGGCTTATGGGGTTATATCTTTTGCTTTGCACAGGATAAAACATCTGTGCCATATGAACCAGTTTATAGTGATGCACAAGCAAGGTAGACTTTTATGATTAAATGGTTAATTAAGATATCATTTCTTATTATTACGCTCTTGTATGCTGTTTTTTCATTTGGTTTGGTGGGAGAGTGGTGTCATTCTTTGAGTTATCGTTCTCTCATATGAAAATTTATATCAGATTTGAATAAAATGATTGTATAAATACAATTAGTTATGTAAGTATCAGTATGTGTCACCATGATTTATACCTTTATCTAATGGTATTTGAGAAAAGAACTAGGATGTTGGTTTTATGTTCTTACATGGTTTGTTGTGTCACTTCATACTTGGAACTGCATTAAGATGAGTGCTTATATATTTTCATCTTCTGGCTTTCAGTTTTCTTTCTGAGTACAGATTTGATATCTCAAAATTGGAGCCCTTGGTGGCTAAGGTGGGTTTCTCTATGAAGTCAACTGACGGGCTCTTTTTTCTGATATCCACCTCCACCCCCTTCTCCTTATCCTGTTTCTCTTTGCTAGAGATTATCTCATAATAGTTTCTTTTTACTTCTTCTTCTTCATCTTCTCTTGTGTATGCATGTCCTAATACTGTAGTAATATTTTAATTGTATTTCGCAGCCACATTCTCCTGATAATCGTGCTTTGGCAAGAGAATGCAAAGATGTTAAAATTGACAGAGTGTATATTGGATCTTGTACTGGTGGAAAAACAGAAGATTTTCTTGCTGCTGCTAAAGTCTTTCTAGCTTCAGTAAGAGTCCCTGTTTCCATTTTTTGTCCTTTTTGTTTTACAAGCTGAAATAAGTTGAGACTGAAATTCCTGCAGGTCAAGGGGAAAGGTAACATAAGAGAGAGGGAGCTCCAACATTATTGCATTATCAAGAATCAATATTGAGTTGCAGCATATCATATATATATATTGAGTCGCAGCTTCTTTGTCTTTAGCTCAAAAAATTTGATTTGCTTGAACTTGCAGGGTAAGAAGGTCAAAGTTCCCACATTCCTTGTCCCTGCTACACAAAAGGTGCGGTTTGGTATTATTAATGTTAAATGTCATTTGGTCTGCAATTAGAATTAAGGAAGAAAGAGGTAATGATGAAAGAATATGCCTATTAACTTGGTAAAATTGGCAGGTTTGGGTGGACATATATACTCTCCCTGTACCAGGATCTGGTGGGAAGACGTGCTCCCAGATATTTGAAGAAGCTGGCTGTGATACACCTGCAAGCCCTAGCTGTGGTGCTTGTTTGGGTGGCCCTAAAGACACATATGCACGCATGAATGAACCTAAGGTAAGTTGTCCTTTCCCAAGCAGGATACCTTCAAAAGCATACAATTTCTTGCCCATGGTTTACCCTTTTGGATTTTGAGTAGAATTTAGAGATTAATCTCGTGAAAATGGCACACTTCTTTTCTCTTATTAAGGAATTGTTTTAATGGGATCACCCTTGCAGGTATGTGTCTCCACAACAAACAGGAACTTCCCTGGTCGGATGGGACACAAGGAAGGCCAGATATATCTTGCTTCCCCATATACAGCAGCTGCATCAGCCTTGACTGGTTATGTCACTGATCCAAGGGAGTTTTTGCAATAGAGACTTTGAGTAACTTGTATAACTTTAATGTATAACAGGAGAGAAAATGGAGATTTAGTGTTGGGTACTATTGTGCTAATGCTGTAAGATTTTGTTTAGTACCTCCTTTCTTCATTTTTGGTGTATTTATGCCAGAAATACAAAATTGGAACATCTCTTTCTTAAGCTTGAATAATAATGTTGTTATTTGGTAGCATGGTGAAGGATCCTTGTGCGAGTATCCGAACAGGAAATTCTGGATTATTAGTAATTGTTCACGTGGATGAAAAACTCCTATAAGGACAATTTTCCTGCTACTTGATATGTGAAGTTCTGCTTGCAGAACCTCTTTCATTTTCATCAATATTAAGCAATAACTTTATTTTGTTGGGGATGGTACAGAATATAGTTTGAACCGGGACTAAAGCTTCCCTCGGGTTTTCCCTGCCAGCTCTTAAGTGGGATAGGCCAAACTGGTCTAGAGTCCTAGCAGAGAAGACTACGAGAAAATCATACTTACTAACTTGAACCACAGCTGGACGATCATAAAGAACCAAAGGGCATAATGGAATCTGTTGAAAAATGGTCCTACAATAGTAAAAGAATGTTAGGACAAATGTTCCATACTTAATTCATGTCTTGAGTCATGCAAGGAAGTGAAATGACAGGAAAAGGATTAACTTCGACTGCTCGGGAAAATACTTAACAACATAAAATTCTTTGTCAGCGTTTGGAAACTTGATAAAAGCTTCCTTGGATGGTTGACAGATTATAGTGGAGCCCAAATGAGCAGACTATGGCTTCCACTGAAATTGTTTTGCATGTTTTCTGCATGCGGTGGCTGCAGACTTTTCAAGAGGGCTCCACCAGTTCTGTAGCTGAGATGAACACACCCAAGGCTCCACCAGTTCTGCAGCTGAGATGAACACACCCCAGAAATATCTCTCCCACTGTTCTCAGTCAAAGTCGTGTTTGACGTTCTCTCCAATTTTTTTCGTCACCAATCAAACAGAAAAAGCCGCCTGCTTTACATTACATTACTCTGATTATTAACCAAAAAAGCTGTTCCTCGGAAGGAATTAACTGATCCATGATCATGGCATCTTCGGTGGGTTTTCCACACCCAATGTCTTGCTTGTTCAATAACAAGGTAAGTAGTTTCACAGAGTTATCAAAGTTTTCTTTTATTGTTAATGATTACTAGTCCATGTTTTGAGCTTGATCTTTTTGTTAATCGACCAGAAAGATTTGAGCCCCGCTGCCTTCGCTTCAACATCACAAACCATTTACAAATGCAAGAAACCAGTTTCCAAGAATATTGTGATGGTCATGACACCACAACAATCAGAGCACAAACCTGCCACCACAGGCTCAGTTAGTTTTTTCTTTTTTCTGAACCATGGATGTCATGTCTATCGATTGATTATTGAGTTTTCATTGTTGTATTTCTTAATTTCATTTTTGCTTTTGGATTTCAGGTCAAGTCTCCAATGACTATGACAGAAAAGATTCTTGCAAGGGCCTCTGAGAAGCCCCAGCTGAGACCAGGTGACAACGTTTGGGTTAACGTTGATGTATTCATGACTAATGATATTAGTGGTCCTGGTTCCATTGGTATCTTCAAGAAAGAATTTGGTGAAGATACTAAGGTACCTTAATTATTATATTCTTAGTGTAGGTTTTTCATACACTTGTTTGGATCGCACTACTAACTTATTCATTTTCTTTTTCTTTTTCTTTTTCTTTTCAGTTGGTTTACCTATATGCTGTTTACCTACAAATAATTGGCCTTTTGTGTGTTTATATCTTCATTTCACAGCTGAACCTTTTAATTTGATGAAGTGACCATAACCATGTCACTGCAATAAACTTCTTCTCATTTCTTTACTGTTCAAGACGTGAAAGTGATTCCCGTGTTTTCTCCTATGCTAATATTTACTTGTTCCATTTCCATATAAAATGCTTCACATTTCCTTCAACATGGCAATTTCATTGTGACGTGGTTATATTGGTATAGTGGAGCTTGTGTGTGTGGGCATGCATGTTTAGAGCTGGCTATTTGCAGAGGCTGAATTCAATAATTAACTACCATCATTCTTGTATTGAAGATTTGGGACCGTGAAAAGATTGTTGTTATACCTGACCATTATATATTCA